CAAATAATTATAATAATAATAATAATATAATCATATATTCTTAATGATTATGGTAATAATCAATATCACATACACCATCAACATGTGATTGACTTGACTGAAATATCATCATCTACATCGTCATATTCAATTTCATCGAATCAACCTTTTTTTCTGCAACAGCAATCATCACAACAACTACCACCACAGATACATATAAACAATAATGGTGCAGTATACAATATACCAGGTTATAACTATCAGATTAAAGATAAAATTATAATAGAGAATATAAATGGCCAAGGATTTAATACAATGATACCATACCAATTAATACCGTTTTTTTCAAGCCCGCAGGAATATAAAAATATAATAGTATCACTTAATAACTTTACTCCGAGATCCAGAATCTCTTTTAATGTTATTATAGCTTTACATATTATATTGATGTTTCCTTTTGTTTTTATTCTAGCATTTTTTAGTAATAAGAAACATTCTACATCCAATATACCAATGATCGTTGGTATAATCATTTTAAGTACTTTATTTATTTCTGCCGTCGTTTTAGGTATCATCAAAAATAGATATGTAAGTTTTTCATAAAAAACGAAAAAAAAAAGATATTTTAAAAAAAAAATCATTTTTTATTAACACAACCACAATTTTTTTCACCCCATTTTTTTTTTAAAAAAAATAATAGATAAAAAAAGAAATTTTAGTTTTTTATAAAGGGTTGTCACATAAATATGAAAAAAGAGGTTTACACTTTAGCTGTTCATTAGCAATTATACACGAAAATGACAAGTGTGGTAGACATATCACTCAAACAAAACTGACTATAGAATACCCCAAAAAAGAATCTGAAATATCCGAAATAAATAATAATAATAATAATAATAATAATAATAATAATAATAATAATAATAATAATAATAATAATAATAATAATAATAATAATAATAATAATAATAATAATAATAATAATAATAATAATTTTATTTACTATTCTCAACATCATATAAAAACATTCAATAGTAATAATAATAATAATAATAATATAAATGATAAAAATATCATTACTTTAGAAAAAGTAGATGAGCATTAAATTTATAATTAATATAAAAATCTTTTTGTAAATAAACCGAAAATTAAAAAAGAAAAAAAAATTAAAAAAAAAAAAATTAAAATTAAAAAAACCGATTTTTTGGTGTCTTTTGATTTTGCATTCACGAATTTAATAATGAAAGAATGTTACCACATTATTTTATTGGACCTGTGTGTTCTTAAGGTAAAATGGAAAGATGTTATCATTTTGGTTTTATTATTACAAAGTACACATAAACCAATAGACATTTTATTAAGAACCCAATTTAAAAAAAAGAAAATAAAAAAAATCAAAATAAAATAATTAAATAAAATTGGGGAACACTGCACAAAAAAAAAAAAAACAAAAATAAAAAAATTCTTAAGAAACATTTTCACAATAATGATGATTACATTTTAACTGCAAATATATAAAAAAAACAACAATTTTTATATAGAATTCAATAATGATGATACCAAAAAGCGTCATGTGCTATCACATAATCCACAATTCCTTTTTTAATTTTATTTTTTTTTTTTTTTTTTTTTCTTTTTTATATAAATCAATATTTTTTGTTTATTTTTTATTTTTTATTTTTTTTTAAAACTATTTTATTTTTATATATTTTTTTTTATATTTAATAGAAAATAATAATTATAATAATAATTTTTAATAATAAAAATTTTAAATAATATATATGTAAATTTTATTTTTTGACACTTTTTGACATTTTATTTTTTAATAAAAAATATAATAAAAAAACAAAAAAATAAAAAAATAAAAAAATAAAAAAAAAATAAAAAATAAATAACTAAAATATTTTTTTTAAAAATAAAATTAAATTAAATAATAATTTATTTTATATTAAATTAAAGAATAATTAAATTGTTTAAAAAAAAAGAAAAAAAAAAAAAAATAAAAAAAAAAGATTAATAGATCTAGTCCTTTTTTCATTTTCAAATTTCAAATTCAATTTTTATAAAATTGAAAAAAAAATAATATTTTAAAAAACCAAAATAACAAAAAATAACATCAAATAAAATACTAGTAATAATAGTATAATGTTAAATTCAAAAATGATGTTACAAAATAATAATTCAAATAGTGATAATAATAATAATAACAATAATAATAACAATAATCATCATAAACAAGATTTTCAGAAATTAAAAGAAGCTAGTTTAAAAGATAGTAATGGCAGTGTTTCAATTATCGATATAGGTAAAATAAAACACAAAGTGCCTGGTTATAATTATGAAAAAAGAGATCATTATATTATTCATAGAGAATTGAAAGATAAATCAAGTAAAAAGAAACATTTAACCAATGGGGATTTCTTTTATGATACAAAAATGCCTAGTCTTCTGTCGCCCTTTATGACACAGGAGGAGTTCAAAGAGGTTATCGAATCTATAGATCATTTTAAATCATTAAAAAAACAAAAATATAATAAAATTACATATGTACATTTAGGTTCAATAATATTTCTTTTAATAATTATCGCAATTTGTGGGTGGAGAAAAAAAATAGCACCTATCATTGTATTTATTTTAATGTTAATAGGCATTTGTGTATCAATGGTTGTAATTTATAGAAATATTAGACCTAGACATGTAAGTATAAATTATTTTAGATTAAAACTTAGATATCTATACACACCATATACTAATGTTTATTATTTATTAGATAAGAAAAGATATAAAAAAATTTCATAAAGATATTTCAGAAAAATTTAAAGATAGAGGTGTTTCATTTAAACCCCATCTCATTACTATTGTAAGACCATATACAAAAAAAATATCAATTCATCAAGATCAAATTGTTGTATTTTTCCCAAAGAATGATAGTAGTAACACAATGAGCACTCTATCTACCAGTTTTGGCAGTAGTACAGGTGCTCTTACCATTAGTAATGGATCTACATTCTCGACATTATAAATCAAATAAAATTTGGAATTTTATTTGATCAATAAATTTTTAATAATTGTTTTTTTTTTTTTTTAAACTATTTATATTTCATATTATAATAAATAGATTTAAATTACTAATAAATCATTTAAAAAATATTACAATACCAGGATTTTCAGATTTTTTTTTTATTATTTTTTAAATTTTTATTTTTTTATTTTTTTATTTTTTTTATTTTTTTCAAATTTAAATTAATTTTTTTTTTTTTTTTTTTTTTTTTTTTAATTTTCCCTAATTGTGAAATTCCAACATACACATAAATAATTAATCATGAGCAAATATACAAGAGCAGGTCAATATGTTAAATCAAACTATCCAATTTATTTAGCAAATAAACCAATTCATCAAACATCATTATCATTAGATGTTATCGATAAATTTACTGGCGGTGTATGTATTTATAGAATAATTATAGATACATTAAAATTTATGATAATAATAACTAATAAAAGGGTTCATTAATTTATAAATAGGTTGTTAGTAAAGTACCAATGGCAGATAAAGATATAATTGAAAAATCAATTGTTTCATCAGTAAATGCACAAGAATCAATGAAAAATATGTCATCAGCAAAAAGAAAGGAGATTTTATTAAATATTGCAAATGAAATTGAAAAGAGAGGTGACGAATTTGCTAAGGCTCTTGTTGTAGAAGTTGGTAAACCAATTGTAGATGCAAATGCAGAGGTTGGAAGATGTATTGATACATTTACAAATGCAGCAGAAGAATCAATTCGTCAATATGGCGAATCTGCACCATTGGATATTTCAAAGAGAAATTTAGGATTTTCAGGTATTACTAAACGTTTTCCAATTGGTCCAATCTCAATGATTGCTCCATTCAACTTTCCATTAAATCTTTGTGCACATAAAATTGCACCAGCAATTGCAGCAGGTTGTCCATTTGTATTAAAACCATCAGATCGTACACCAATTAGTTCATTGTTATTGGGTGAAGTTTTATCAAAACAAGAGTTACCAGAGGGTGCATTTTCAATTTTCCCAACTACTCATGAAGATGCTTCAATTCTTAGTAAAGATGATCGTTTCAAGGTATGTTCCTTTACTGGAAGTCCAGCCGTAGGTTGGAAGATTAAAAATGATGCAGGAAAGAAAAAAGTAATTTTAGAGTTGGGTGGTGATGCTGCTTGTATCGTTGATTCCGATAATTCCGAATCAAAATTACAACACATTGCATCTCGTGTATTATTTGGTGGTTTCTATAGTCAAGGTCAAAGTTGTATATCTGTTCAAAGAGTATTTATTCACGATAAACATTACGACCAAATGAAGAAACTTTTAGTCGAAGGTGCCAAGCCATTACAAGCCCGTATTGGAGATCCAATGGATCCAAACACTTTTGTAGGTCCAATGATTACAGAAGGTGATGCCGCTCGTATCGAATCATGGATCAAAGAAGCTGCTTCAAAAGGTGCAAATATTTTAACTGGTGGTAAGCGTATCAACAACATTTTTATTGAACCTACAATCATCGAAAACTTACCAAAAGATACCAGTATCGCTTGTAAGGAAGTATTTGGTCCAGTATTCTTTATTGAAAGATTCACTGATTTCAGACAAGTAGTTCAACGTGTAAACGCATCCCAATTTGGTTTACAAGCTGGTGTTTTCACTGACAATATTCAAAAGGCTTATTATGCCTTTAACAATATCGAAGCTGGTGCTGTAGTAATCAACGATATCCCTTCAGTTCGTGTTGATTCCCAACCATATGGCGGTATTAAGGATTCTGGTTTTGGTCGTGAAGGTATTAGAAATACAATTGAAGAATATACTGAGTTAAAATTAATGCTTTTAAAAGATGTTGGTAATCAATTTTAAAAAAAAAAATAAAAAAATAAAAAAATAAAGAAAATATAATTAACTATAAATAAAAAAATAATTAAAACTTTATATTTTATTTAAAATTATATTATTATTACTATTAATTGGTTTTTTTAGATGTAGATTTATTCGATTTAAATAAATTTTTGATATCTATTAATGATTGTTTACCTTTAATTACTAAATATAAAATAAAAAGGTATAATACTGTAAAGTGTAGATGAATAAAATCAAAGGTGAATGATGATACCCTATAAAATTGTAAAACTTCTTGAGTTGGCTGATAGAATTGAATAGAGTTGTCGGTTGTAAATTTATCAATTTTAAGCTCTTGTAAATAGTTTTCAAAAATGGAGTAAATGCCGTTAATTATGTTGATTCTATTATTATTTAAATGGTCGTCTATGTGCGAGTGATAGGCTTCTGGCTGTTTTTCACTCATTTTCGAAAACATTTTTGAAAAGCTGACTGGTATCTTTTTTTCATGGATGAATGGAAACATTATATTTGTGTTAGCAAAAACCTGGCTCCATGATTCGAACGAATTAATATTTACATCTAAAGATCCTTTTAAAAAGTCAGAGTGGTCTACAATCTTGGAGTTGTTATAGATATAAGCAATGAGTGCTGATGCTATGATTCTAGTATTCTTTTTTAAAGTTTTCAAATGTAGGGTTGATGTTGATCCCTCATTATCCATGTTGTATAGTATTGTACTCTCTTTTGCTAATTGAGGTGGTGATGGTCTTTGGGTTACTGTTAGGGAGAGTAGTTTCTTTTTAGCGAATACTTCGTGTTTCCAATAATTTTTTTTATCTGATAAATTGATTTTACGATGAACTGGAGTGATTTGGGTTTCACCATTTCCCAAGCCTTGGCTAAGACCAGCACCTTTAAATAGATCTATTAGACTTGCTATATGTTTTGGTGACCTTGACAATTGTAAATATAGTATGTTCTCATTGATATCACCGTCTTCCTTACTATTTCTATTGCCCATACCAATTGAGTCAATACAGATGGCAAGCTCTATAGACTCTGAAATTAAACTTGGTTGTTGTTCGATCCATCTTTTGACACCATATTCATTTAAATTCGAAGCACTTGTTAAACCAAATACAATATTGTAAAGACCACGTGTACTTTTGTCTGAATAGAGCTTTGAGAAAATTCTAGCTAGTTCAAAGACTACAAAAGCATTGCCATTATTTGCAAATTCACCGCTAAGTGCAGGAATCATGTGGAACGAGTCATAGCTTGCCAATACTACAATGGTTGGTAAAAAGTATTGGTCGGATCTAAGATGATCTGGATCTCCTCTTAAAATACCTTGAAAGTTATAGGCGAATGGGTTTACAATTAGCTCAGGTAAGCCTGAAGATACAATTAACTTGTAGTCATCCTGATGCTCGGGTGGTACATTACCGACACTCTTTATTAATCTGCTAAACTCTTCACCCTTGACAAAGTAAATTGGAATAGTGAGGGGTAAAGAATCATGGTAAAAAGATTCGAACCCCTCTTGAGATAATATATTATTTTCTTTTTCTTTATTTAATGGTAAACCTGCTGATGGGATACTATGTAACACTACTATGACCGCCTCTACATTTTTAAATATTAGTTTCTGAATGGTGTCCACTGATGCTAGATCTTGGGTAACAATTGCAGTTTTTCCTTCATATATTGTTGAATGGTACAGCTCGTCTTGATATACAATCAGGTTCGATGATAAACTTGCTTTCTGTGGTCCGCCTCCCCATTTTCCTGTACTATTTTTATATTGTAGCATTCTGTATGCATATATTTCATTTCTATTTCCGTTCTTGTTTAAATTTTGTTCAAAAATATTATTAAAAAAATATAAAGTATCATTATTAATGATTTTACTGTAAATAAAACTATTATTTAAATTTATTAACAAAAGTAATAATAGTATTATTATTTTCATCTTTTATATATATTATTTGTTCATTAAGATATGCATATTACAAAAAATAAAAAATAAAAAAATGAATTTCACACATATTAAAAAAAAATAATTAAAAAAATAAAAAAAAAAATTAAAATAATTATTTTAAAAAAATAAATTAATTTTTTTATTTATTAAAAAGTCTTTTATTTTATACATCAATATGATTTTTTAATAAATCAAAAATATTGTTTGAAAGTTCATCTATGTCGTGTGTGTTTTCCCAAATTATAAATTTTAGGAAATGTTTTAAAATTATTCGAATTTTCTTTAAAATAGTGTGTTATGATGGCGTGCAAAGAACAACAAATTAAAGTATTATAAATAGAATTCCATCAATGACCTGATGATTACCATATGGAACACCTTGCACATAAATATTTTTAATTTTTTAAAATTTTTAATTATTTTTTTTTTTTTAATTTTTAATTTTTTTAATTATTTTTTTTATAATTTTTAGTTTTATTTTTATTTTTGCATAACAACACAGTTTAGAAAAAAATACTTGGGTAAGCAATAACTATATCTTCATTTATAGAAAACGTAACAGTTATAATAAATTCTTGATTATCAGATATATATATTTATTTTTCTTTCAAATTCACCACCACACCCTTTTCTTCGTTTTTAATTATTTTTACTTTAATAATTATTAAACCTCATTTAAACTAAGTTTAATTTATATTGGAAAATTCATGGTTATTTTTTTTTGTGTAGGTTAACCTTTTCAAATAATTTTTTTTTTTTTTTATTTTTAATTTAAATTTTAATTTTTTTAGTTTTTTTTTTTTTTTTAAAATTTAAATTATTGTTTATTTATTATTAAAGTTGATATTACAATTGGGTATTATAATTATAAATAAAAGAACCAAAGAATAGAATCAACAAAAACAATAAAAACGTTATTTATTTGTATGTATATATATGGTTAATGTATGTGTGTGTTAAATTGGACATCACCCACAATTTTTTTTTTTTTAATATATACACCCCCATTGACAGATTTTTAATCAAATTAATAAAGATAAAGTAAACAGCAGTTTAACAATAATAGCAGGAGCATAAAAGATTTCTATTTGCATTTTAAACAATAACAGATCCTCCTTTTTTGTTTTTTTATTCCATTAAATAATAAAATAATGTTAAAAATGTATGTGTGTGGTGGATTGTAAAAAAGTCGCACTTACCAATAAATATCCCAATTCAATAAATTAATTTATATTATTGATTCACCAAACAACAACAACAAACAATTACACATGCATTTTTTATATAAATAAAAAAAAAAAAAAGGAAATTAATATATCAAAATCAAAATAATAATTTAATAATTAATAAATCACAAATTAAGTAAATAACTATTTTGTTTTTTTTTTCTTAATTTAATTATTTTTCTCAAATAACTTTCAAATTTTATTTGATTAAATATTTTTTTTTATTTTTAAAATTTTTTTATATTTTTTATTTTTTATTTTTTATTTTTTTTAAAATTTTAAATATCAACATATAATCGTAATAATAAATTAATTACTTTAATAATATTATAACTATTATTGTGCTATGTTTAAATAGATAAAAATATCTCAATTAAATCTTCACCATAATAATAATAATATAACGAATAACAATATTCATATAATATTTCACTCTCTTACTATTTTCTATTTTACAAATATTCACAGAGACACACCACACTAACACACTTTTCAATAGATTAATACCTTAACCCCCACAACACAAACTAGTTATAAAATTTAATAAAAACTTAAAACAGGGAATACTATATATAAAAAAAAAAAAGTTATACACATAAATATTTACACAACCTTGTATGTTTTATTCATTACCATATTTTTTAAAATATTTAAATTATTGTTTTTTTCTCTTATCTTTATAATTTTTTTGATATAATATTTTTTTTAATAATGATTTAATTTTTTAAAACTTAAAATATCACAATATTAATTTTTTTTTTTTTTAAAGAAATATTTACTTTTTTAAAAAAGTTTTTTATACAATTACACAAAAATCAACTCACAACATAGAAAAATAACAACAAAATAAATTAAAAAATAAATTATAAAATAATATATATAGAAAAAAATGCAACCATCAAATGACCCTTTAGAGGCATATACTTTAATAAAAGAGTTAAGAGCCGGTGGTGAGGGAAAAGCACTGTTATATAAAAAAGATGGTATCAAATATGTTGTAAAACAAAGAATTTTTAATACATTAAACGAAGCCAATCAAGGATTAAGAGAGGTAAATTATAAAATTTAAAATTTTTTTCTCTTATTTAATAATTTCTAAAAATTTTAATTTTTTAATCTAGGCTTATTCTTTAGCAAAATGTGATAATCCAAATGTTGTAAAATTTGAAGATGCGGTTATAAATAGTAAAGATAATCAAATTGTTTTATCAATTATTATGGAGTTTTGTCAAAAAGGTGATTTACTTGATTTTTTAATAGATTTAGTACAACCTACAAGTCATCATACAGTTACCTTGGGCTCAGAGCTTTCATCATTAAACTTGGGAACATTCACACATGAAACCAGCAGCGATATAGATACAAGATCAATCAGCTCCACAAGCTCTGGCTCTGCAGAACATAGTGATGTTCGTTCAAATTCTGATAATAGTACCACAACTCCAACCATTATGACACCAAATAATTCATCTCCAGCTACAAATAGAATTGGCTCCACTCCAAAACAACCATCACAACAAACCTTATCAACTCCAAGAGAAGGTGGTCCAGCAAAATCTCCAATAAAAAAAGAAAAAAAGAAATGTGTTATAAAAATGACTATTGATTTAACAAAATCTCTAATTTATCATAGTCATAATCATAGTAATAATAATAATAATAATAATAATAATAATAATAATAATAATAATAATAATAATAATATTGATAAATCAAAAGGTGGATCTCAATTAAATCTTTTAAAAGATTTATCCCCATCACCATCATTAAATCATTTTGAAGAGCAAGTTGTTCAATCAGATCAAATTAAAAAAACAGTAGACTCAATTTATTTAATAGAACAAAACCAATTAATCTCTTGGTTATTAGATATTAGTTTTGGTGTTCAAGCAATTCATAAGGCCCATATGATACATAGAGATTTAAAGAGCGAAAATATATTTATAGATTCATCAAACAAGTTAAAAATTGGAGATTTAGGGCTTGCCACATTCAGTAATCATACTACAGTACATAAAGACACAGTTGGTACTTATTCATATTCATCACCGGAAGTATTGGAGTCCAAATCAAGCTCCAACAAAGGTTATGACAAATCCGCCGATATATTTTCTCTTGGTTGCATCTTTTTTGAATTGATAACCTTGAAACTTTTATCATTCAATAGAATTTTCATTGGCGAAGATTTAATTAACGATAACTTTGACTCTATGAAGTTTTTATCTTACTTCCCAGAAAAGTACCAAAAGCTAGCTCCACTCGTAATGTCAATGCTCGATAAAAACCCAAATCTCAGACCATCAATAGATACCATCATATCTCGTCTTCAATCTATGGACACCTCCACACTTAGAGAAAGAATCACAATTAAAAGAGCAAATAGCTTTAAGGGTTTAAAGAAACAATTAGATCGTTCCCAATTTGAGGAGGCTGCTCACATTTTAGCATCATCGTTAGTAACCGATCCACGTTTTTCATCTATATTTCCACCATCTGATCCCCACTCTGTTGGACACCTTCAATATCTTTTCAAATATATATTAAAAGTTTTATCCACACATCGTTGTAATATTTGGGGTTACTTTGGCATTGATGGAAAAATGTTATCAGTTGCAGTTTGGCTTAACCCAGATAAAAAGAAAGAGGTTCGTGTTAGTGACCGTATCAAAGGTAGTCTTAATTTAGCAACTAAAATTGGTTTAAAAAAAGTTGGTATGGGTATCGAGTTAATGCGTTTTGTCGATGGTATTCTTCAATCTGAAAATAAAGAAAAACATTGGTTCTTGGCCTATTGTGCTACTCTTCAAGACTATAGAAGTAATGGTATTGGTTCCTATTTATGTGAAAATATTTTAGAATGGTCCGATCACAGTAATGTTCCTTGTAAAACATTGGTTTTCACTAAAAGTTCATTCGAATTCTTTAAAAAATTAGGTTTTGAGGTATCTAAAGAAATAACAAATGGTTTACCAAAAGGTATAAATAACAATGTTTGGTTATTAGTTAGAAGACAACAATCACTAAATATTAACAATTAAATATATCCATATAAATAATAATATAATAATAATAATAATAATAATAATAACAATAATAATGCAAATCAAATCATGTATAATAATCTATATTTATTTTAAAAACCACTTTTTTTTTTTTTTTTTTTTCAACTTTTTTATTTTTCTTTTTTTAAAAAAAAAAATAAATTTTAAGATAAACTACTTTATCAATTTTAAAACTTAAAGTTTATTTAAATTTATATTTTTACGTTTATTTATTTAATTAGAATTGTAACACAAAGGAGGGGTTAATCAAATAAAAAATTATGTGTGTGTTAATTCTTTTTTCAACACTCCCCATTTATTTTTTCTAAAAATAATCATCAGGTTTTAACCAATTCAAAATAATATTTTTTTTTTTTAATTTTATATAACCCACAATGGGGTTAAAACAAATAAAATATTGGTTAAATAAAAAAAATATTTTTTTTTTTTTTTAAAAAATTTAAATTAAAAATATATTGTATTATTTTTTTTTTTATATATACAAGTAAATAATGGATAATATATATTTAATAAATAATAATAATAATATTAATAATACTAGCAATAATGATGATTTAGAAACTTTATTTTTTAAAATTTTTAAAAATAAAAAAATTTTAAATAAAATATTTTATCATATTCAAAATAGTCCTTTAAATCAAGATCAGAGTGATATATACAAGATTTACTTTGAAAATAGAAAAAAATTTAAAGACATAACCTCAATTTCATGGATGATCAAAAAAAACCAACTGCCACTATTAAAATGCAAATTAGAAGCTGGAGAGCTTTTGGATAATGATATTGATCCAAAAAAAGATAAAGATGGTGTAAGTAAAGATTGGTTAAATCTCCTTTTTAAAGGTGATCCTGAAATGGCTAAGACCCTATTCAAATTATTACTAGAGTCTAAATCAATAAACTGCAAAGAAAAATTTGTTTATAATTTTCATCTCCTTCATGAAGATCTAATGGAGATAGCTCTTTCCGGTGAGGACCCATATGTTCAAGTGTTACCATCAATGATTGAAAAATCCTTTACCGAGTCCAGTATCCCTCAAATTAAACTATTACTAGAGTCTTTTTTTTCAAATAGTCCTATCCTTTCACAATTAAAAAGAAGCAGGGAAGACTATGAAAATCAAGTGGATAAATGCAACTATAATACTCAATTCTACCGCCAATTGGTTAGCAAATTTAGATCCCAGACAATTCAAAGAGCATCTACAATTAAAGATATTTTCCAAAGAGATAAAGTGTTGACTTTAATTTTAAGCAACTCCAATTACTATAGCCCGCCAGACACCACCCCATTACCACCTATCTCCAGCATTGAAAATATGACAACTAAAAGTAAAATAATTAAGAACATCCACAATTTGGAGCAATCAATGACAATGTTAAGAAATTACCTTGCACAAGTAAACAACAAGATTGACTTGGAAACCTTGCTTTATGAAACCATTTCAATTGATAACCAAGAAAAGTTATTAGATCTAAAGTTTTATTCCTATCCAAGCGAATTAGAGAAATATGAAGAAGAAATTGAAAAAATAATAAAACAAGACCAATCAAACAATAGAGTTAAAGAATTAATTAGTATAATTCAAAACACAGAATCACCACCAAATGAATCTTTAACAGTATCAACACACCAACTTTTAAATATAAATAATTTGAAACTATTTTTATCTAATAATAAAAACAATTGGAAGGGTATGAAAATAATTTTATCAGAGCTTAGTGTGCTACTCACCTATCAAGTTGAGAAAGAATTTCTACAATACTACCTGTCTTTAGGAAATAAAGAAGAATTTAGCCTCATTACAAAAATGATGAACTGTTCTATTATATATACAATTTCAAACTCTTTTTACAAAAGCAAAGATAAAGAAAACTTTTGCAAAATAATTGAATCCTTACCAAACAATAATGAAATAGCTTCCAATTGGTTAGAAATCGTTAAAAGAACAAAAAATGTCGGTTTAGATGGCAAAACCATTTTTGTTATTAAAGACAATGATACAATAGATTTTATTTTAAATAATAAAGAACTATTTAAAAAAGATTGTTGTGATGAATTCCTCTATTCCAATACTTCATTAATAGAATATGCCATTAGTAAAGAATTATTACCTAATCAATTTGATAGGAACTTTGTTTACCAACTTCCATTAAAAAATGCAATTGAAACATTTAATTTAGAAGAAATTATAAAATGTTGCAAATTTGTAGATATATGTGTTCAATATAAAAAACCAGTAAAAGAAATTTCATTTGAAGATTCAAACAAATTATCAGATTTATTATTGTATTTAGATTCAATAAACTGCAGTAAAGGTATTTTTTATTGTTTAGAATATATTCCAACAAACTATGATATTTCAAAAATTATAAATAATAAAAACAACAGTAACCAAAACAACAATAATGCAGAAAATAGTGAAAAAATAAGTACCTGGATTGATTTATTTGTTATTTTAATCAAAAGAGTCTCATTCTCTAAACTCAGCCTTTTAATAAAAAACAACTTTAATCCTATAATTGACTATCCAGAAGAATTTCTTTCAAAATGGAATCAATATCATTCAAACCATCAGTTTTTATCAGATATACCAGATGACACTCCAATTTATTGCATTGGTTTATTAAACAATCATAATAACATTAATACTGATGATATTATAGAAACTATTAAAATATTAATAGAAAACCAATTGTCAAAAAAAGTATCAAAAAATAATTTATCAGTCGTTATAAACTATTTATTCAGGTTGCTACTTCAAGCAATTTCATATAACAGTAAACCAGATAATGAAGAAGTCGAGAAACTGATTGAAATATATCAATTTATAAATAGCTCCAATATAGCATCGGTTCAAAGTTCACCACTCTTCTCATTCTATTATCTTTCAATTAAATCAAAGAAATTTGTTAAACTAACTCTAGAAACTCTTCAAATAAACCAACTTAGTAGAATTATTTTTAGAGTCAAAGATCCATCCATTAACCAATCAAATGAAAATCAAAGCAGTGAAGATTTTACAGATTTATTAGATCCAAAAATATTCACATTTGAAAAAATATTTTTAGACTATTCTTTTCATTCTCTATTATATCTCATATATAATCAATTTTTAAATCTTAAGTCACTACGATCCTTAGATAAAGAAATCAAAAAATGTGACTCCTATGGTCACTTTCAAAATCCCAAACAACATCCAGCAATAAAAGCAAATACTCTTTTTAATGCAGTTTTAGAATTTTTCTTAGATATTAGGGAACCAAATAACTTTTCTCTTTTTGTAGATATGATTCAAGAAAAATTTCCAATATTCTTTAACAATCATTTCAAATTCTCTGAACGTTGTTTTCATAATGCTTACAGTAGTGGTGTGGAATTACCAGATTCAAAATACATTAATGACTGTAAATATGATAAAAAAGCTGATGAATTATATGTATTCAAAGGTGATAACCTTTTCAACTTTATAAAGGAAGCTAAAGTTATTCAAATCTCAAAATTAGAAAATATAATATTTCAAAACACACAAAATGTAGCACTTTGTTATTTAAAATCATCAAACAGTATTCCAATACATCTATTTTCAATTCAACAATATAAAATGTTACTATCCACATATCCTTTGTACCCAGGTTTAAAACTATCCAAATCAATAATTAAAAAAACAATATCATCAGAGTCAATATTATTTTTAAAGCAACTCTTCCAAAATGGTTTTATAAATAACAATACCTCCAATGATCCAGAATTTGATCAACTGTTATCATTTACAAAAAAAGAACTAATGAATCATAACGACTATAAATACATAAATTGGATAAATAAATAAATAAATATTAAAAATAAAATAAATAAATTAAAATAAATTTCTAATATACCTATACCATTATAATTATTATTTTTTTTAAATATTGTTTTTTTGTTTTGTTTTTTATTACGATTATTTTATTTATATTATTTTAAAAATGATTTTATTCTCTTGTTTTCTTTGCAGTTTTGTTTTTAGCACGTTGAGCCATTTCTTGTTTTTTAGAGACATCATCTACTACCTTACGACGACGTAAATTAGAAAGCATTTTAGCTCTTGATTTCTTTTCATCTGGTGTTAAAAATTTTTGTTGATTCTTTAATGCATCTCTTGTTTGATTTTTTAAGATCATATCGAAAGATTCTTGGTGACCAATGGTGTTCATTTCATTGATATCTCTTCTTTGTCTAATTATACGTTCGTGGGATTCTGCAGCTTTGATAACTTTGAGGTCATATTCTCTTTGTTGATTTTTTTTAGTCCATTCTTCGAGTCTTGCTTTTTTAATTTCAGCAGACTCTTGACTCTTTGGACCCTTGATACGATGATTTTCAATTTGGATTTGACGAACAGCTGGGTCTGATTTTGTTAAAACTGATACAACTTTTGATTGAGTTTTATATTGTTCTGCAATCTTTTCTAATGATTTACCTTCGACACGAAGTTTTTTCATTTGATTGATTTCATTTTCTTTAAAATTGTGTTCTAATGTCTTTTTATGTATTTTTTTTGGTTGGAATGGAATTTGTTCAACTGGATGTTTAAAAATTACTGTGTTTCCTTTTGAAATTGGTGTGCTAAATTGAACAGCTTGATTTTGACCTAAAATTGATTGAATTCCACCAAATCCATTAGTGCTTAAAGCTGCTGAGCTATAATATCTGATATTATTTATTGATAATTTTAAAGATGATTTAATCATTTTTTTATATACCAATATATAATTTTAAAAAAAATGAAATGAAATAATCGTTTTTGTGAAAAAAAAAAAAATTTTAAAAAAAAAAAGAAAAAAAATTTTTAAAAAAAATAAAAAAAATAATTTTTTTTATTTTTTTTAAAATTATTTTTTATAGAAATAATATGATTATTTTTTATAGAAATAATATGATTATATTTAGTTGTTTTTAAAAAAAAGAAAAAGTTTTATATCTATGAATAAACAAAATAAAATAAGGCATTATGGAAAAAAAAAAATAAAAAAATGATTTTTTATAAACTTAGAAAAATTTCTTTAAAAAAAACAAATAATTGATCTTTTTACAAAAATACTTGATGTGAAGGAAATTCTCAATCAAATCAATATAGTGATAGCAAAGTCTCTCTTTATTGGATATTTCTGGTATATGTACATTAATTAATGCAACTCCATTATTATATACTGTTGCCAAAGTTAATGTTCATATCTAAAAATAAACCAACTATTAATTTTTCAAACAAAATTGATAAATTTAAAATAAAATTATTATTATCAAACTAAAAAAAAATTTATATTTAAATAATAAATATAATTATTTTTATTTTTATTTTTATTTTTATTTTTATTTTTATTTTTATTTTTATTTCTTTTTACAAAAATAAAAAAAAAAATAATTGGATTTTACAATTTTTGGAGGACATCTCCTTTTTAATAAACAAGATACACCAAAATACAACTATTGTTTTAAAATTTTTCTGGATTTATATAAATCTAAAAAAAAATTTATTTTTTTGTAAAATTATTAAAAATAAAAAAGTATAAATTTAAAAAAATATATTTTTATTCCTTAAAAAAAAAATCTAAATATGTTATTCAGTAAGATATTTTAAAAAAAGATATTTAAATTATAAAACTAATTCTTTTTATTTCTTTAGAATCATTACAATCCATCAACTTAAAATCAAAATCCTCAAAGATCCAATTAACAGCATCAAATAACACCACCTTAACTGGTTCAAATAATATAGCTCTTTATGGTATTGTTGTTTTTGAACTTGATACATCAATCACTGATATACACGTTCAACTTTAAATGTTATATTAAATGAAGCACATTCTTTTAAAGTAAAACTGCTTTAAATAAAATTTATATTATTTTCAATATAAAACACTCACATTTTTATTTTTTTAATTAAAAAAAATTTTCATCATTTTTTAAAAGTTTATATAATTTACAAACACCCTTTTTTTTTTTTTAAATATTTACAAAATACTTTTTTTTTTTTTTTTTTTATTAGTTAATAACTAATAAAAAGAAAGAAAAAAAAAGTTAAAACAATAAATTTTTATCATTTTTTTTATTTTTTTATTTTTTTAGTTTTTTTTTTAGTTATTATTTTTCCATGAATTTAATAATGAAGTCATCGAAAATTCTTTTTTAACTTTATCGGGTCTGTCTGAAATTGATCCATAACCGCTATCAAAAGATGAAGATTCCTTTTCTTTTGGTTCACAAATTAAACTTAGTTTATACATTGATTTTTGAGATTGAATTGAAGGTAAATTATTTAAATAACGTTGAGTAATTTCTTCGGTTTCTAAATGGTATTGTTGTTGTTGGTATTGTTTGATTTCTCTAATGACAACTGATATTTTTCTACATTTTTCAAAATTTATAATTTCTTCATCTTGATTTAAATGATTCTTCATACCATCCTCTATAAAAGTTAAATGAGTTAAATAAACACCTAAATAAGGTATACATGGTGGATGAATATTGTGGAGCTCTTGCATATAGTTCTTATAGTTGGCGTTACTGGACATTAAAGACATAAGCTCATCATAGGTATTTTTAAGGATTGGTTTAGCTTCGATACGCTCCCATGTTTTTCTAAGACGGTAAACTGATGAATTTTGAAGACCAGATAAAATCTCCATAGTTGCATTAAAGTTGTTGAGCTCTCTACATTTTTGGGCTAATAAAATAAATCTTTTAATATAACTAACACGATCTTTAAGTTTCTCTTGTCTAAGGATTTCAGTGGCAACCCATGATGAAACTTGATTGAATCTTTTAATAAAGTTTACAATATTTGGTGCTTTTTCTTCTTTGTCTTGTTTGTTCCATGCTTGACCAAGGCACTCTTTGGCACCAATTTTTCTAAAGAGGTCACTCTCAAAGAGTGTTAATTGACGTGCGACTTCTGTTGGGTCCAAATCTTTGAATGAAACCTCTGAACCGTTTTTGATCTTTGGTGGGATTGGTGCTGGTGGACCATTAGAAAAAATTGGGACTGGTACAATACGATCATTTGAAAGTAATCTCTTTAAATTGATACCGATTTTATCCATATCTTGCATTATGTGTGTATTGATAAAGTTGTCAAGCTTGGCAATTAATTGCTTATCCTCTTCAAAATCATAGTAGTGTTTATCGACCCATGATTTAATAACATTTGTAATCTTTAGACGAATAGCTCTTTTTCTTTTAACTTCATCAGATTGAGATGAGAATGAACCAGTTGAACTTGTAAGATCCATTGAAGATATGGAGGTAGTTGATGATGATAAGGATGGTGCGTGGCCAAGTGGTTTATTATTTAAATAAAACTCTATTAAGAGATCCAAAAGTTCACCACTAGTTGTAAATGATTTGTGTGTAAGTAAAAAAGCAGAGGCAAAATCTGGGTCATGTCTTGCAATAAGGCGGTTAACTAACTTTTCAATGGTTCCACCTTTAACGATAAAGCTTGGAGTGGAGCTTGCACCATCGGATGTAACTTTAGCAATAACCAACTTTGGATCATCTAAAACCTCTGGTTCGTCTTCTGTGATTTCAAAGGGATTATATAAACCAGATTGTGTGGATGGTGAGCCAGTTGCTTCAATTGAAAAACTATTATTTTGTACAGGTGTGGATGGTCTACTATTATTAGCAGAGGTGATATTAGCACTACAACTATTACTTAGTTGTTGTGGCTTGATTGCATTGGCGCTACTTGCTGAAGCAGTTCTAACCAAATGACCAGAAGATGAGAGTGGTGGTGTAACATTTGCTGGGAATGGTGAGGTTTTGCTTCTTCTATCAATTTGTGATTGTGTTGGGGAACTTGAAACATTACTAACACCTCTTGGTGTTAATTTTGATGGACTTTCAACTGAACCATTACTATTATTATTATTATTTTGATTATTTTGATTATTTTGATTATTTATATTTAATTCATTTACTAATTTATTATTTAAATTTGTTAAGGTTGTATCTGGACTGTATGGTGATTTTTGTTGTACAATGGTTTCAGATCTCATTTTAAGGGGAATTACTGCAGTTGACCAAGTTGAACCCTTATTTAATGGTGATGATGTTTGAGATGATGAAAACTCTTTTGTTGGTGTATTATTACTACTACTATTATTTAAATCTTCAAAATTATCTGAAGTGCTTCTTAAGAATGCTGGTCTTGGTGGTGGTGGTGGTCGATTTGATGATGATGGTGTAGTTGAAATTGTAGTTGGTGTTGATGGTAATGGTTGTGATGTTAAAACAGGTGACGAATTTTCACTATCACTTAATTGAGGTAAAGATTCGTAATTACTTGTATCGCTATTATTTGAACAAATAAATGGACTTGTATTTGCACTACTATTATTACTGTTTGTATTGGCTGTTAAATTAATTTTATAGTTTCTATTTGAATTGTTTCTTAAATTTATTATTTTATTGTTATTATTACTATTATTACTATTATTGCTGCTGCTATTACTAATATTATTACTATTATTTGATGAATTATCTAAACTGAGACTATTATAAATTTCTGTTAAACATGATGAAATATCTTTACCTTCACTCATTAAATTTGATTCTAAAAATTTAGTTTGAAAATATTCTACTTGACTCTTTAGATTTTCATTTAAACTTTCTAATTCAAATATTTTATTTTTTAATATTAAATTTTGATTCTAAAATATAATTTTAAAAAATAAAAATAAAAGAAAAAACAAACAAATAAATTTATATAAAAAAAAAAAAAAGAAAAGAATTAATATTATGTTTGAAATTTAAAAATAAAAAAAAAAAAAAGAAAATATTTAAAAAAAAAAAAAGAATGAATTATAAATGCGATATATAAATAATCAATATATGTGATATATAAAAAAAGAGAGAAGATAAAAAATTATTATTAATTATTTATATATATGTTATATTTTTATTATTATTATTATTATTATTATTATTATTATTATTATTATTATTATATATATATATAATTATATATATTTATTTGTTTATTTTTAGGTGTGTGGTGTGTGTTTAAAGTGGTTGTATAATATAAATACCTATTTATAATATAATATATTATTAAGAGTGTGAGTGTGTTTAATTATAAATTGCGGTTAATTGGAAGTTAATGATATTTGAAATTATAAATATAATAATAATTATAATAAAATTATATATTTGTTATTTATTATTAATTTGTATAATTCTTTATTGTTTTTGTATTTTAATTTAAATGAGATATATGATATTTATTATTATTATTATTATTATTATGATGATTATTATGATGGGGACAAGAGGAATAAGGAAATAAAAAAAACAAAGAAAAAAAAAATAAAAAGAGAGAAAGAAAATTATAATTTAAAAATTAAAAAATAAAAAAAGAAAATAATTAAAAAAAAAAAAAAAAAAAAATTGTTTTTGATAATCAAATTAATAAACTTACATTTAAATACTCTATACGATTGTTACATTCAGTATGATCCATTTTGAATTTAATTTATTTTTGTCTGTATAAATAAATATATTTAATATTAATTATTTTATTATAAAAAAATTTTATTTAATAAGGTTATTATAAATAAAATATTGAATAAAATAAAAAAAAATAAAAAACAACAATAACAACAACAACAGCAACAACAACAAAACAACAATAAAAATAAAAAGAAAAAAAGGGGGTAGGTTGTATAATATTATAGTGTTGCTTGATATTATTATTATTATTTAATATTGTTTTTGTTTGTTAATTAGTTTGTTAGTTTGTTAGTTTGTGTATATCTTTGTGTCTCTGTCTTTGATATTAATCAAATTTACAATTATTACTTTTATTATAATAATTTTAAATTTCTTTTTTTTTCATGATATATGTTTTTTTATTTTTATTTTAAAATTATTATTATTATTATTATTATTATTATTATTATTATTATTATTATTATTGTTTATATGGGGCTGAATAAATATTTTAATTTCTAAGTGTATTTTATGTATGTGGTTTAGTGTGTATGTGTGTGTGTGTGTGTGAGTTGTACGATTTTATATATGTTATTTTTATCTTTTTTCAACTAAAATAATTTAAATTATTTTGTTTGATTATTTTAAAAACCATAATCAAAAATATTTAAAATTAGATGGTAATTTCAAATATTATTAAAATTATGTGTGCGTGTGTGTGTGTGTTTATTTGTTTGTTTGTTTGTTTGTTTTGTGTAATGTTTAAATTTATAAATGTGCGAGTGTGTAGTGAGTGAGTTTGATCACAATTATTGAATTGAATACACTATATAAGTTTATTTATTGATTTTAAAATTGTGGGTTTTGTGTGGATATTTATATTGTTAATTAAATTTTCTCTATCTTTGTAGTGGGTTTTTCTTTTTTTTTTTTTTTTCTGAATATGAAATTTTTAAACAATTGAAAACTATTATTATGAAGTGTTTGATGTTATTGTTGATGGTGATTGGTTTATTTTTGTTTTGTTATTGATAAGATTATGTTATTTTTGTCGCTACAATTTAAATAAAAAATATTTGTAATTATATATAAATACTATTACTAGGTATCACTACCACCTTTTCTACTACAATAAAAAAAATAAAAAAAATATTAAAAATAAAATAAATTCTCATACATCAGATAAAAATCACAACCTGTCAGAAAAATTTTATTTTAAAATAAAAAAACCAACACACAATCAATAAAAATTAGATTTATTGTGTGTGTGTATGTGTGTGTAACTGTGTTTCTAAAATTAATTATTGTTTTTGTTAATGATTATGTATTATAGTTTTTTTGTTATTTGTTATTATTTTTTTAATTAATTTTGATTATTGAAAAAAATATAGGAACACAGTTAATTATTATTTAAAATAAAAAAATTATTTATATATATTATTTTTTGTTTAATAAATATGTTGTATGTCCTTTCTTTTCTTTTCTTTTCTTTTTTTTTCCAACCACTGATTGGCTCTTTTTTAAAAAAAAAAAAAAATTTTATTTTATTTTATTTTTTATTTTTTTTTTTTGAATTGTGGGGATGTGGTTTTTTTTAATATAAATAAATTTTTTTTAATATGTGGCAAAATTAAAAAAAACGAAAATGAATTATGATAATGATTGAAAAACTCTAACATACTAAAATTTTCCCGCATCATCGCAAATTTGCGTGTGGGTAATGCCAAAATAAAGCAAAAAAAAATAAAATAAAAAAAAAAAAAAATAAAATCAAATACAAAATATTTTTTTTTCTTTTGTTTTTTACTTGATTTCGAAAACTATCATTATTGTAATTCATGGCTTTAGGTTTTTTTGCCCCTTTGTTATACAAAAAAAAAAAAGAAAAAAAAAATAAAAAATTGCACGTGATAAATAAAATATAAAAGAGAACAATTTAGATTTATAAAATTCTTTATTTTTTATTGGTTGTTACTTACTTTGTTTTATTTTGAAATTTTTTTTTTTTTTTTAAATTATTATTAAAATAAATTGAATTTAAAAGAAAATAACAAAGTGTATAAAACAAATAAATATAAATAAATATATAAACAAATAAATAAATAAATAAATAAATATAAATTTAAATAAATTGTAAAATTAAAATTATTTTTGATCTATTAAAAAAAAATAAAAAAATAAAAAAATAAAAAAAATAATAATAATAAAATTTGTGTATAACTAACTAACTTGATTATATGTGCGAAGTTAGTATGATGATATTTAGGTTTTATTATTATTATAATTTTTATATATTAGATATTTTTATATATATGATTTTGTATCTTAAATAGTGCTATTTTTATTTTTACTGTTATTATGTAATTATTTTTATTTTATTTTTATTATTGACAAATAGACCAAAATATCATATTATTTATTAATATTCATTAATATTAATAAACAAAAAAAAAAAAAAAAAAGAAAAAAAAATAAAAAATAAAATTCTTTTTCCTTTTTTTTTTTTCATTTATTTTATTTTAATAGTTTTCTTTTTATTATTTTAAAAAAATCCTGAAAAAAATCCTGAAAAAAAAAAAAAAAAAAAAAAAAAAAAATATATATGATAATATCGGGTATTTTCGAAAATGGGGTATTGAAAAAAAACCCAATATCTATTGTATTCCGCCTTTCCAAATTTTTTTACTTATTTTCACCCAATTTTATATTAAAAAAGTAGGGCAGGTGGGTATTTTTTACTGTTCAATTGGTCAACTAAAAATGAAAGAAAAAAAATATCTAATTATCTATGAGATTAAAAGGTTGGAAAAAAAAAAATTTTGTTTTTATTTTTTATTTTATTTTTTTTTTTTTTCGAATGATTTTTTTTTCGTATCTGTGGTGTTGTTATAACAATTATAATTAATATGAAAAATAATAGCAACAAAACTAAACTATTGACTTTTATGCAAATATATTTATAAATCTTTTTTTTTTTTTTCTTATTTTGCCAGAATTTTTTTTTTTTGAACTTTGTCATTTACAGAGAGACAAATAATAAAAACCTCTTGGTATAAAAATCTTTTTTTTTTTGATTGTGGCGGTTTTTTGGTGTGGAATTGATCTTCGTTGTTCAACCAGTAAAAAAAAATAAAAAAATAAATAAAATGAATTATTGTTATTATTAATAGTAATAAATTGTATTTTTTATTTTATACTGTTTATTACCAAATAAATATTAACGATTGAGTGTAATGGTTATATTAAATACTTGGCCAAATCGCAAATGATGACAAAAGAATTATGGGGTCTGAAAGTTTGATCGAATTTAAACATTAATTAATGTTGTGATGGTACTTTATTTAATTAGTTGATTAATACTTCTTTTTTTTCTTTGTTGACCAGCTTAATGGTGGGACATAGCTTTTTTAGGTATTTGAGGTTTTGTCAAATTGACAGCTAAATAAGTTTTTAAATATAATAATAATAATTTGTTGAATTATATAAATAAATATTTAAAAATAAACACACAAATAAAAACATTGTTTAAATAAATTTAACCCACTGTTTTTTTATTATTATTTTTTATTTTTGGACAACACTATAAACACAAAATAAATAAACCCACTGAACATTGTTGCGAACCCACATATCTTAAAATCATATCCAAAAACATAAAGATTTTAAGATAATGAACATTTTAAAAAAATATAATTATATTTATGATCTATAATTAACAAGTTCACATAATCCAACATTGCAAAATCTAGATTATTGAACTTTTCTAAAAATAATAAATGATACTAAATTTACATTATAAAATAATAATTAAAAAATAAAAAAAAAAAAAATAAAAAAAAAAAGATATTTTATTTTTTTTTATTTTATTTAATTTTATTTTTTTTAATTTTTTTAATTTTTTTGGTTTTACTTTTGCATAATAACTCTTTTTTTTTTCTTTTTTATTTTTTAATAATTTATAATTAGGTGTAATTTATTTATTTTATAAAAATCCATTTTTTTCTTCTTTTTTTTTCAACAATTCAATAAAACAATATTTAAACAAATAATAATTGATTAAAAGATTTAAAATTTTTTAAAATTTTTTTTTAAAAAAAATAAATAAATTAAATTAATTAAAAATGTCAACTACAGATAACAAAAGTAATAAATTTAAATGTTCTGAAAATTTATGGGTAAGCTATAAAGAAACCAATTGGTTTTATTAGTTCATATTCATTAGATAAAAAAATTCTAACTTTTTTTTTTTAAAAATTATTATAACAATAATAAAAGGATGGATTCGATTTATTAGTAAAGAGAACTGAACATGATTTAATGGTATCAAAAAATATTTTAAATTTTTTTAAAAAGAAGGCAGAGTTGGAGGAACAGCATTCAAAGAAATTAGAAAAATTGGCTTTAAAGACATTAGCATCCATTGACGAAAGTTCAACGATCAATGCAATTAGTTTTAATAATAGTTGGAAAAAGATTATAAATTCAGCAATGATGGAGTCGGAACAACACACACTATTGAACACTAGTTATTTAAATAAGATATGTCAACCATTACAAGCAATGATCAAAGATATGGAGACCAAGAGAAAGAAGATCCTTCAAGAGGGTATTAAATTGAAACAGGATATGAAGGATATGGTCGATGCATTAAAGAAATCACAGTTAAAATACGAAAAAGCAAATAGGGATTTAGAAAGCAGTAGAATCGAATTAAAGGAATATAAAGACCAATGCCAACAACAAGGTGGTGCATCTGATTCGGATCTCAACAATATTGCAAAAATCGAAAGACGTACTCAAAGATGTGAGGCAGAGTTACACAGCTGCGATGAAGAATACAGAGAACAAATCAAGGCAACTAATGATTTCCAAAACTTTTACAACACTGAGGCAATGCCAAAAATTTTAAATGATTTTGAAAATTTCATTATTTTACACTCACACTTTAGCAAATCCTATTTTTCAAGTTTGGTCAATGTACTCTTAGATTTACCACCAGCTTTTTCAAACAATTACGATATTGTAAAGAAATCGGTAGAAATGATTGATAACAATAATGATGTTCAAGAGTTTATAAGAAAAAATTTAATGCGTAAACAATTAGCGCAACCATTCCAATACGAACCCTATGTCGAAGGTAAATTAACTAAAAAAACAGTATCATTAACATGGAACACCAAAATCCTTAGTCAGTTCTCAAGAAGTGCTACAAACAATTCACCAAATACTAGCAATGGCAATTTAAATACCTATATCTCTGGTGTCGATAAGAATGAGCCAATTTTACCCACTGCCTCCTATAAAGTATCTTTGGAAGAGTTGATGGCAAAGCAAAGAGATACCCACCCACATTTAGAGGTTCCATATGTTTTAACAGTGTTGGCAGAGAATATAACTAAATTAAAGGGTCATGTTACTGAGGGTATTTTCCGTGTACCAGGTATCATTAGTACCATTAAAGCTGCTCGTATTAAAATCGATCAAGGTGATTTCGATCTCTCTGCCATCGATGATGTTAGAACTTCATCAGCTCTACTTAAACAATGGTTACGTGATATCCCAACTGCATTGGTACCAGATTCTCTTTATCAGGCCGCTGTTGATACTCCATCAAACGCTGTTAACATTGTAAAGAATATTCCACCAATCAACCAAAAGGTATTATATTATTTAATTAATTTCTTGCAAATTTTCACCAAATTCGAATTTGTAGCCCATAGCAAAATGGGTGTTAGTAATCTTTCAATGGTTTTTGCTCCAACTATTCTTCGTTGTCCATCAGTCGATCCAAATGTAATGTTAAATAATGTAAATAACGAAAGATTATTTGTTGAAAATTTAATTAAAAATATTCCACCCCCAACAAATGTTCACGAGTTTTTAGGTTTACCAGTTCAAATGTCAGATGCTGTCAAAGATGCAGATGATATAGAGGAGTTAAATGAAGATTTAATTACTTCAGATGATGAAATATCAAATAAATTAGAAAATAGTAATAGTGATAACAATAATAGTAATAGCAACGATAATAATTTTAATGGCAGCGATGATAGTAATAAACCAATTTCACCAAACAATTTAAATGATAGTTTTAATAATAATCTAACATTAAATAAGAGTAATGAAAATATTACAATATCAGCAACCACTACAACAACTACAAATAGTGCAGCCACATCATCATCATCATCAACTAGTACCACTGTACCAACATCTCCTACAAGTGCAGGTACAACAACTACTTCACCAGGTTTTTCAGCAGTTATTAGACCCTCAAGACCTCAACCATTAGGTTGGGTTAGAGTTAAACCAGCAGCTGCAGGTAATAAATCGTCATCACCATCATCATCTCTATCATCATCACCATCAACAACTACACCATTACCAACTTCACCTCAAACATCATCCCAGCCAACACCTACCGAGCCAACTTCACCATTGCCACAATACTAAAAAATATTATAGATCTATATATATCTAAATTTAAAACAAAAAAAAAGAAAAAAAAAATATTTGTAATAGTAATTTTTAATATAAATAATACATTAATAATAGTAATAGTAATAGTAATAGTAATAGTAATAATAAATATCAAATTATTAAAAAAAATAAATAAATAAAAATATATATATAATAATATATATTTATATAATTTTAAAAAAAAATAACAATTTTATAAATTTTTTATTTTTAATGATTTTTTAAACTGGTTGATTTGGTATTATCAATATTTTCTTTTTCTTTTTCTTTTTTGTTTTGATTTTGATTTGATTTGAATTGATTTAATCTTTTTGATCCCAATTCTGAAGATAACAAATAGTCAATTAGTAAGGATAATGGGTAAAATTGTATATATTTGGCAATATTTAATGAAAATGGATATAAAACTCTTTCTTTTTTGTTTATGATTGCATCGACGGTAACTTTGCCAACTTGACTTGGTGAGATTTTGGGTATCCAATGACTAAGAAGTGGGAATGATTCAGAGGTGATACCATTGTTTTCAAAATATCCTGATTGGGTTTCTCCTGGAATAACTTCAACAACATTAACACCACTACCACATAGATCTCTTCTAAGACATTGTGTAAATCCTTTCAATGCCCATCTTGCACAGGCATAACCAATACATCCCTGCCATGGTTGTAATGAAACAGGTGAGTTGATATTTACAATTGTACCAATACCATTATGTAACATTGGTGTTAAAAGTATTCTGGTAATATTAAATGCTGCAAAATCTATAAAATAATAATAATATTGATGTTTCCAATAAATAGTTAGTATTATAATAATTTATTTGTTATTATCATATTTTGTTTCTAATGTCATATGTATAAGAGAGAGTACTTACATGGCAATGACATCATTTCTTGACATTCTTTAAATGATGTATCTTCAAGGAATTTCCAATTTCCACTACCTGCACAATTTACTAAAATCTCGACATGTTGATTTAAAAGTGTTCTTTTATTTGATTCTGATAAAATTTGATTGATTTGGTTTTTACATTCTTCAATATCATTTTCTTTGCTTAGATCTGCACTAATGTAGTAGCATTCACTATATCCTTCTTTTTTAAAATCTTCGACTAATTGAATTAATCTATCTTTATTTCTTGCTATTAAAATAACTTTACTTTTATTTCTTAATAATTCTTTTGTAATTTCTAATCCTATTCCACTATATTAAATTAATATTAATATAAATATAAAAATATATTGCTTTATTATGATTGTTATGCTACTATTGTTATTATTATATTATTATTGATATTATTATTGATATTATTGTTACCTTGATGCACCAGTGACAACCACGAATTTATCTTTGATTATTAATTTTTTTTTAAAGATTTTGCTTAATATTAAACTTGCACCATAGAGTAATGGTAAGCTTAAAAATAATGATTTTTTATTGTTTAGTAAGATATCTAAATAGTTTTTTGTTATTGCATTCATTGTAATATGTTGGTGTGTTATTTTTAAAAAAACAAAAAATAAAAAAAAAATAAAAAATAATTGAAAAAACATAAAAAAAATGAAAATTTTTTTTTTATTATTTTATTATTTTATTAAAATATCTAAATTTTAAATAATATTTATAAAACATTGAGATAATTTAGTGTATAATAATAAAAATGTTAAATACAATAGTACATATTTAAAAAAAGTAATCAAAATATGATATACATAAACTATTGTATTTTTTTTTTTTGATATTATTATTATTATTATTATTATTATTATTATTATTATTATTATTATTATTATTATTATTATTATTATTATTATTATTATTATTATTATTATAATATAAGTTTTATTTTAAAAAATATCTCTTTATTTTTTCTAAATTTAATTTCTTTTTTCTTTCATGAAAAAAATGAAATTTAAAAAAAAAGGAGAAAATAAAAGATATTTTTTTAATTTAATTTTTATCTTCTTAATATTTTCGATTTTTATTTTTTGGTTTTAGTATAAATAATGTATCTTTTTTATTTTTTTATATTATTCAAACAAAACTAACAAAACAAACAATTACATATAAATTAAATACATAAATATATTTAAGATATAAATATAATATTCAATTTTAATAACAAAATGCCATTATCATTAACTTCAAGAAAATCATTAAAGGATAACGAAGAAACCTTCAAGACCCACTTAGCCACTATTGAAAAAGCTTTAGGTTCTCCATTTGAAATTGCTTTCGACTTTGAGGATATTATTACCAAATGTAATGATAATTGGGTTACCAATAGTTGTGGCTCCATCTTTTATAAGGATGTTGTTGGCAATTTAGCTAAAAACATCGATACCAAAGTTAGCAAGAACGATTTGGTTAAGGAGGCATTCTTAAATGCAGTTCCAAATAAGAAGTTTGTCTTTGTTGCAGCTGATGAAAAGTTACCATCTTATTGGCAATATTCATTTGTTGATGGTAATTGTGTAATTTCATTCCGTCCAAAGATCTGTAATACCAATGATGTATTCACCGCTAAATTAGAAACCCTTATTCCAAGTGAAGGTGTTTACTCTTTAATGACTCGTTTAAATATTAAAGAAAATCAAGCTAAAATGGATGCTAACTTGGCTGCAGTTAAAAAAGCAATGAAATCAGATGCTGATTGGACCATCGACCAAGCTTCATTAGAAGCTGTTTACCCACATGTTGCCGACGATTTAAAGAACAGTTTTGGTCATATTTTTGCTGGTGTAGTCGAAAAAATTGCAGCTAACCTTGCCAAACGTTGTTCCGATGAAATGATTTTAGAAGCTGTTCAAGAAGCTACTGCTAATCGTACTATTGTTATTAGACACAATGCTACCCAAAGCGGTTACTGGTTATGGTCATTCGAATCTGGTAATTTAGTTATTTCATTCAAATCAATCACCAATACAAATGATGTTCAAACCTTTGACTTTATTAAATTATTATAATAGGTTCTAACCTATATTATTATAACACTTCAAATGAACGACACTATCCAATTAGTTTATAATAATAAAAAAAATAATAGTTTTTAAAAAAAAATTGTAAATATAGTTTTATTATTAAATTTTAATTTTAACAAGTAATTTCATAATTAAATTGATTGCTATAGTTATTTGAGTTTTTACAAGTTTGGTTAAGATAAATTATATTTTCTGATATTGAGGATGATGATGATGATTGTTCTCCAATGATCATTTCTGGTATAAAATTATTGTTACATTTAAAAGTTTGAGATAAAAAAGGATTGGCTTGATTTGGATTGTAAAAATCATCGGTTATAAATTGTGTGAATTGTAGTTGGTTTAAATTGCAAGTTTGTGGTGAAGAAGATGATGGTGTATAGTATTGCTTGAAATGGTACCCATAGTTTGATTCGCTACGGTTGAAATAGGTTGAGTTGTTAATTGGATCTATTACGTATACTCTAGTATATGAGGATGGAATGGGCTGTGAGTTTATAAACATTGCTGAGGTGAATGCATCTAGACATTGGTTCTCCACCATTAGCTTTTCGCATGCTATTAAATTCTTACAATTATTATTACTATATTTACACAAAACAAATGATTGTAAATTGGTTTGAAGTTGAACTGTTATGCTGATACCATTATTTGAAATGCATGTTTTATTACCTAAAATAATCATGCCCAAACCACCATAGTTTTTATCTAAACAGTTTTTATCATTGTTATATGGTTTAAATAATAAATAGTTATTATTATTATTATTATTGATATTATAATTAATTTCATTATTAAAATTATTTATATTTATATCATTTTTATTACTATTATTGTTATTATAATTTATTGAATAAATTAAATTTGAATTTAAAAAAATTATAATAATAAAAATATAAAAAGAAAAATAATTTTTAAATTTAATCATTACACAATTATTAAAGAATTGAATTCTTTTTTTTAAAAAAAAATAAAATAAAAATTAAAAAAAAAAAATAAAATCTTTTTTTTTTTTTTTTTTTTTAAAAACCGAATCAATTTAAAAGAATTTTTTTTTTTTATTTTAATAAATAGAATTATAAATATTCTGAATATAAATAATAATAATAATGGAACAAGATAATAATAACGATAATATCGAAGGTACAGAAGAAACTTATATCAATCCAAATGAAGCACATAGTGAAGTTGTCATTGACCAAAAACCAGTTGTAGAAGATGATGAGGATATGATGGACGAAGGTGGTGACGAAGGTATGGAAGATGCTGAACCAGAAGAGGATGAAGACTTTGTAGATGAATCAGTCCAAGGTTTCTTTGAACATACAGATTCAGTCTATTGTATTAATAATAATAAAGTATATCCAGGTGTAGTTGCTACTGGTGGTGGTGATGATACAGCATATATTTGGAACTATACAAATGGTGAAAAAATTCATCAATTAAAAGGCCATACAGATTCAGTTAGTAAAATACAATTCAATTTTGATGGTAAATTATTAGCTACTGGTGGTATGGATGGTATTGTTAAAATTTGGGATGCTCAATCTGGTACTTTACAAGTTAATTTAGAAGGTCCAACTGAATCTATTGAGGTATGTATATCTAAAATGTTTAGATGGACCAATATAAATATTAATATCATTAATAAAAATAAATTAAATAAAAATATATAGTGTATGGAATGGCATCCAAAAGGTAATATCCTTTTAGCAGGTTCTTCAGATTGTTTAGCTTTTATGTGGTCAACCTTAAAAGGTGATATTGTTGGTACATTTGCAGGCCATAATGGTCCAGTTACATGTGCAATGTTTACACCAGATGGTAAAAAGGTTATTACAACTTCAGAAGATCGTTCAATGAAAGTTTGGAATCCAAAAGATTCAACCAATCAATTTACATTTACTGGTCATGGTTTCCATGAAAATATTATTACTTGTATGGATATTAGAAAAGATAGTGTTATTGCTGTTACTGGTGGTGATGATCATTTCGCTTGTGTTTCAAATTTAAATACTGGTAAAGTTATTGGTAAACTTAATGGTCATACTGATGCAATTGTTTCAATTTCAATGAGTAATGTTAATCAAAAGTAAGTATATATATATATTTATAAAATATTTTAGTTGTTAAATCTAATTAATTAAAATTTTAATTTTAGTTGGTGTCACACTGGTTCATTAGAAGGTACAATTAATGTTTGGGATGTTAATACTCTTCAACAAAGATCAACCTTTAAACATAAAAATACAGTTACTAAATTACTTGCACATCCAACCCAACCAGTTGTTTTCAGTAGTAGTGTAGATAAAACCATCGGTGTTTGGGATGAAAGAAATGGTCAATTAATTAAACAATTCAGAGGTCATCAAGATTCAATTTTAGATTTCGATATTACCAATGACGGCAGAGTTATTTCTGCATCCGATGATAAAGTTTCTTTAGTTTTCTCTTTAAATCCACCATCAAATTAAAAATAATAATTTAAATAAATATAAAAAATATAAAAATAACCTATCTAAACATAATATATTATTGTATTGTATTGTATTTATTTTTAAATGTTTTTTTTATTTTTTATTTTGTATTTTATTTTTTATTAAACTTTTAAATATGCATATTTAGAAAGAGGTTTGTTTATATTATTACTATTGGTTCATTTGTTGGTTGTTGTTGGATTGTTGTTGGATTGTTGTTGGATTGTTTGATTTTTGTTTATATATAATTTAAATTTGCTTTGTTCTCTTAGACATTACCTTTATCGATTTTAGCAGCTAATTCTAAATATTGTAATGCAATTTCTCTGCAGTTTTTAATATATGATTGTTTTTGTTTGAAGAAACATTGATCCTTTAATAATTTTGTTTTTTAAATAAAAAATTAGTTTTTATTTCATAGAGATATTATTATAATAATTATAATCATCATTATTGGGCAATTTCATTTATTGTTATTATTACTATTGCTATTCATATTAATAATATAAAATATAAAAATATTTATATTGTATACTGATAATTGAAATAAACTATGATTATGATAATAATAAAGTTGTTTTATATGATATTATGTTTGCTATTTTGTTTATTTTTTGTAAACTTACTAAAGCTTCTGAGAGAACTTTGTGTTCTTTGATAATTTTATCTTGTTCTACAATGAATTCGTAAGTTTTGGCGATACTTTCTCTGTGTTGTTTATCAACATCGATTTCATGAATCTTTTGATTAATATTTCTCTTTTCAATATAAACAACTGGGATATCGTCAGTTTTTGTCATTTTTGAGTATGTGCTTTATGATATGATCAATAAAAAAAAAAAAAAAGAAAATTTAAAAAAAAATTAAAAAAATAAAAAAAATTTTTAAAAAAAAAATTTTATAAAAAATTTTTTTTTTTTTTTTTTTTTTTTAAGAAATATTTAAACAATGAATTAAACCACCTTTTTTTCTATTTCCATTTAATAATACTATTAATCAGTATATCTATGGCAATAAATATTTCGCTAAAATCAACACAATAAATTTTGTTATACTCCTCAATTAAATCAATTTTATCCAAATTAAAATATATAAGACATAATTTAATGGTTATTAAATTATATTTTTTTAACATTACCATTTTTTTTTTTTTTTAAAAGAGAGGATGATTTTTAATGATCAGTATCATTATGTGTTTTTTTTTTTAAAAAAGCATCTTACTTTATGATATATAATTAGTAGTATTTATTTAAAGTATTGGGTTGTGTGAAGATTTTTAAAATTAATCAGTAAATTTTATTTAATTTACATTACAAATTGACTAAAAGTATGTATTCACATGTACATTATGTAATGTAAATGAACTTTAAAGTATAAATAAATAATTAATAAACAATAAAAATAAAGATAATAATTAATTGAATTTTGATGATAATACATTACAATTACTTTTGGTCAATTCTTTCAATCGCTGGGCCATCATTGCACCCCAAAGCTAAATTATATCACCGGGAAGATAAATTCCACTTAAAGAATTGTTGTCTGAGGGATTCGAACCCTCGCATCAATGATATTGCAGCCTTAATGCAACCCCTTAGACCAACTCGGGCAAAACAACATGTATATATTTCATCAAAAAAATTTTTTTTACGGTTTTTATTTTTATTTTAAATACCACAACTTGATGAAATAAACTAAAATATACACTAAAATTGATAAAACAGGTTCTGTATTTCTACCGCTTGATAAGATAGACTATATAATACTTCACGCAACAGATTCTACATTTCAACTTGAAAACAAGTACTGCCCCACTTTACAAAGTATGTAACATAATATTACATGAATCCCATTTCTTTTTATAAACAATAATATTTTTATAGGTACACATATATTTTTCATTTACCTTTTTTTAATTTAAATTAAGTATTTTAATTAAATATTTTTATTCTCTCTCTGATATTTGAAATATCTACCACACTTTTGATTGTTAAAAGAATTTGTTTTTTAAAAAAAAAATAAAAAAAAATTAAATAATTATTTTTTTAAAAATAATTAAAATTCTTTAAACAGACCGCTTATTAATAAAAATAATTTATATTAGTTTTTTACCTATATATATTGATTTATTTGAATGTTTTTTTTATTTAATATTAAAACATCCCAAAAATAATTTAAAACCATAAAAAAAAAGGTGTGGGAAAAAAAAAAAAATTTAATATAAACTCATAAATAATCATTTTATTTATTTCTAAAACATAATGTAATATATTCAAAGTTATTTCTATTGTGTTATTTTGTATTACACTTTTATTTCTTTTGTCTGTTTTTTTTTTCATTAGATTAAATTAATTTTAAAATAAAAGTTATTAAAATTTTTTTTTTTTTTTTTTTATTTATATATTTTATAGTGGTTGAAAATTATCTTTAGCGTTATCCTTTTTGTATCACTTGGAATATTTAAAAAAAAAAGGATAAAAGTGGATAAAAAAAAAAAAAAGATAAAAAAAGGATAATAATTTGTAAATCAAATTCCAAATATTGGAAATGACTTAAATGGTATCATTAATCGTTGCGGTAAAGAAGTGAAGAAATTGGAAATTGGAAACTAGTTAATATCATTTAAAAGAGAATTTAATGAATTTTTCAAATCAAAATATAGATTTAATTAAAATTCTCAATTTAAAACTAAAAAATAAAATAAAGTCTATATAACTATTACAAATTAAATAAAATATAAATTATAATAATATAATAAAAAAAAACTCACATTAAATTAAACAATTGTATTTTTTTATAATTTTAATTAATTTTTTTTTTTTTTTATAATTTATAAAAATTTTTTAATTTCATTTTTTTTTTTTTCATTTATTAAAATTAAATTTTTCATTCACACACTCGTTTTTTTACATCCAGCTTAATTTTTTTTTTTTTACATTAAATCATAAAATTTATTTTTTTATTTTTTACACTTATATACATTTTATTTTATTTCAAATAATTATTTATTTTTTAATAAAAATGGATAAATTTTTATTATTATGTATTTCTTTATTTATTGGTTTTGGTGTAATTTTTTTATATTATTTTAGTCCATTCATTTTCAAAAAAAACACCAATATTCAACACGGTTGCCAATGCTCTATTAAAAAGGAAAAGTGCCAATACTGTATCTCCAATGACAATATAGAATACTTGAAACAGCAAGAAAAAGAACGTCAAAGACTTGAAGAGATAAAAAATAGAGCATATCAACAGAGACTTTACCAACAGCAACTTTACCAACAACAACAGGAACAACTCTATCAACAACAACTCTATCAACAACAACTCTATCAACAACAACAAAGGCTCGAACAACAACAATTATATCAGCAACAACAACAACAACAAAGAGTCCAACAACAATTATATCAACAACAACAACAACAACAAAGACTCCAACAGCAACAAATACTCCAACAACAAAAACAGAGTGCAGCACAAATGATTAATGACCAGATGGTCCCAATGGATATCGATACACCATTGGTAAATACAAGAGGTTTGTCAAATATTCAACCTCATAAATTGAGCCAATCACAAATGGCAGAGATACGTTTAAATGAACGTATACAATTATACGGTTTAATGATCAGAAGGGAAATTCCAGGAGATGGAAATTGCCAGATGCATGCGCTATCTGATCAAATCTATGGTGACTTGGACCATAGTGCTTTAATTAGAACCGTAATTGTTGATTGGCTTAGAATCAATGGAGGATTTAAACTTCCCAATGGTGCCACCCTATCAGACTTTGTCTATGATTCAAGTTGGGAAGAATATTGCCACAATATGTCAAAAAATGGTACATGGGGTGATCATTTAACATTAGTCGCAGCAGCTGAAATCTTTAAAATTAATATTACAATTATATCATCAGTTGCATCCCAAACTGGTTTCTTCATCGAAATTAAACCAAAAGTTAAAAGCGACTATTATGCTTTATTATCCCACATTGCAGAGTTCCATTACGGCTCATTGTGCCAATTATAAACTCCCCTTCCATAGGTATATATTTAAATATTTTATTTATTCACTATTTTTTTAAACTATATATTAATTGATATTTTTTACATTTTATCCAGCCATTTAAATTATTATAATCAAATGTCCCTAGATTTATTGCTGGTTGTTGCCTTTTTATAGATTCCGTTGGTAATTGTAACTTAAAAAAAAATTTTTAGTTGATGAAATTAGTTGTATAGAGTTGTTGATCCACTTACTGGTGAATCAGTTCAAGTAGTTGATGGTCTTCAAGGTGTCAAAAGAATCAATTTTAAACAAAATTTAAAGCTAATGGTTGTACAATTAAAACCTGTTAATCTTGAATATGTTGCTGTTCAATATCAAGGTATTTGTGTTCAATTAGCTATTCCACTTGCCAGTAACGGTCGTTAAACCAGTGTTCCATGTATTGAAATTGGAAGTCAATTATGCGATATTGATCTTTTACAATTTAATAGCTCCATTGTTGCTACTGGTTCAGAAGATAGTAACAAACGTTTTATATAATTCCCGATAGAAGTATCAAACTATCGAAAATTTATATCCAAAACCCACCACAATTAAGTTAGAGTATTAGTAAGTCCAATGTTCAACAAAAATTAACTTATAAATCAACACAAGTGATGTAGGCATGTTTAATACCAAGAAAAATCACAAGTCTTGCCCAGCTCCTTAGAATTAACTCCAGAAAGAATCCAATCAAAATTATTTCAATCACTAGAAAACTTGATATAGCTCTTTTTAACGTTGGCCAGTTAAAATCAGCATATTATCATTTATTGAATGCTCTCAAATATATAGATGTAGAACCACCAACACCAAGAGAAAGCACAAAGCCAAAACAATTTTAGAATATTGGCTAACGCTGCTAATAATCAAAATATCTTTATTTCAATTTAGAAATGAGAGAAGAAATGCTTTGTCTTTTTATTCAAAGTAAAATTGCATTTAGTGATTGTTCAAAAAAATTAGATTTCTTGTGTTCTTATATTTCACTTCAATTATCACCCAATCTAAAAAGGTACTTTCCTGATTGGAATTTATAATCCAAAGGTTACTCTAATGGTATTCACCCACTTGGTAATAATGGTAACCAATCAACAATTATATGTTTATTTTAGATCCAACAACATCAAAAAATTAATTAGTTTTAGTAGACAAGAAACATAATACAAAAGAAATAGAAGAATTCTATTCAGCTTATTCGGGAAAAATAGTTGAACAACAAAAATTACCAAAAAAATTAAATAATCAAAATTAAATTACTAAAAATTCTTTTAAAAATAAATTAATAAAAGTCGTGTTAACCTTTGCACCATTCTTATTTAAAGGGAAAGTCAAAAATTCCTAGTTAGCAATTAATACAAAAAAAAAAGGTTTTTATTTTTAAATATCAAAAATATAATTACACACACATAATTGTTCAATTAATTTTTTAAAAATATTTTATTTAATAATATCTATTTTGAAAATAAATTATAATCTTCTCATTATCAAAGTAAAGTATATATTTTTTTATTATATATAAATTCAAAAAAAAATTTTCAGTTATTAATTATCATTTTCAAAATCACACCAATTTTAAATTTTTTTATTATAATGAAAAACAAATATGTAAAGTTATTCGTTTCCTTTATTTAATTGAACAAATAATCTCCCTCCAGATTTAAATTTCTTTCACAAGATGATTTTAAAAAAAGATTTAAACCTGAAACAAACATTATTCATAGAGGTTGAAAATTATCTTTATCGTTATCCTTTTTTGTATCACTTGGAAGATTTAAAAAAGCGCGGATTATAATTAAAAAAAAACAAAAAAAAAAAATAAATAAAATGTTTAAAAAAAATTAAAAGAAAGGCGGAAAAGAGAAAAATTGTGATGGGTGTGTTTGTGCTGTTATTTTACATCATTTTACAAATTTTAAAAATCGATAAAAATGAATAATTTTTTTTAAAAAAAGATATAACTTTTAAAAAAAAATTTTAAATGTATAAGATAGCGATTATGGGTAAAAACTGAGAATAAAGATAATTTTTAATCACTAATTATTCATTAATTTTTTTGATAATTGCAGAATGGTTTATTTTGTAATGACTGGTAATATTTTTTTTTTTTTTTAAAAGAAAATAAAGTTTGGAATAAAAAAAAATATTATATTAAAAATTATTTATAATGAAAATTATTTTTATTTTAAATTTTAATAATTTATCTACTTCCTTTACGGGTAAGATAAACAAATAAGATAACTAAAAAGATATTAAAGACAATATAGCAACAAAGGATACCGAAATTTCTCCAACGATTACCTTCATCCCAACCTAAAGTTGAATAGTATTCTTTACCATTAGCATAAATACAATAACCACATCTTGTTTCTCCAGTAGGTAATGGAGCCAAATCAGAACGAATTTTACCTGGAACACCTTCAACCATGAAATCTTTGGTGTATTCTTCACAAGTTAAACCTGGTGGAGCGGTGAAAATAGCTAAATCTTCTTCGGTACATTCTACATTGACCCAATGGAGGACATCAGTGATAATACCTTCCATGAAATAACGTGCTGGATTGATTTTGTAAATCCTAAAATAAAAGAAATATATTAATATATATAATAAAAACCAATTCAATTTAAACTATTACATACCATGATCTCCAGAAATATGGAATTTTTTCTGGTGGTACCATGACACCACAGAAAAGGAAAAGGAAAACAATTAATAATGGAATAATTGTCATAGCAAAGAACATGTTAACACAAACAGCAGCGACAGCTTGACCGAATGAGACACAGAAGAAATTGAAGAAAACGAAAATTAACCAAAAGAAGAAATTATCAGAATTGTTATGTTCTAAACCAGCGGTCCAATAGCTACAGAAATAGAAAATAGTACTTGAAACGAGGATATATGGTAATTCGACAACAACAATACTAATAGCGAATGGGAACCATGAATAGAATTTACTGGCGAAATCACGTTTGAAATATTCTCTTTGCATAATTAATTGTGGCATGACTACGAAAATTAAAAGGATACCTAACATAAGAGCTTCGAAAACAAAGAAAATACGTTGATTCATATCGGATGATGAATCTTTGAGTGACCAGAAAGTAAAACCAATAATGAGACCACATAAAGCTGATTGAATGAATGAACCATAAGTGTAGAATGGATCTCTCCACCAGATTAAATTGAGACGTTTGTAAACCTCTTTAACTTGGAACCATGTTGTAGTAGCAAATTCTCTTGGTTCACCTTTGTTATCGAGTGATTGATCAACTTGGGTTCTTAAAGTAGAAAGTTCGTTGTTGACAGCATTTCTTTCTGGTGAATCTCTCCAGGCGGCTGGCCAGTCGACATCAGTTTTACCGTGAACACCAGCACCAATACATTCTAACATATATTCAGCTGGATTTTCACTATCGTTACATGGTCTGCAACCATGACGTTGGAAATAAGAGGAAAGAATACTTGATTTTTCACCAATGTCACCAAAGTATACAGTTTTACCACCTTTAGCTAAAAGTAATAAACGATCGAAATGTTCGAATAATACACTTGATGGTTGATGAATAGTACAAACTAATGGCATACCAGCATCGGCGAGTTTACGAATGAATTTAATAATATTGTATGAGGATTGAGCATCTAAACCAGAGGTTGGTTCATCAAGGAAAAGAATGTGTGGTTTGGCGACTAATTCGACACCAATGGTTAAACGTTTTCTTTCTTCGACTGAAATACCAACACCAGTTTCTAAGGTACCAATTAAAGCATCACCTAAATGTTTCATTTCCATCATTTCGAGTACATGCTCAACATATTTGAATTTTTCATCTAATGAGACTTCTGGTTCTTGACGTAATTTAGCAGAGAATCTTAAAGCTTCACGGACAGTTAAACCTGGATTATGAACATCCATTTGCTCAACATAACCAGTAATACGTTCGAAATCGATTTCCAATGGTTTACCGTTTAATGTGCAATCACCTTCAACAACACCAATAGTCTTTCTTTTAGCTAAGACATCGAGTAAAGTAGTTTTACCGGCACCTGATGAACCCATTAAAGCTGTCATTTGACCTGGTTTAATCCAACCTTCAATGTTATCTAAAAGTAATCTTTGACCACCCATAACTGGAACAGTGTAACGAATATTTTGCCATGTGAAAATACCACCATACATTTTGAGAGTATCTTTCATATTATTTGTAGCGTTGGCGACAATAGCGTTTAATTGTTTTTCTTCTTCAACATCATTAAGTTTTGGAGCTTTACCTTTTTTATAGACCTTGTGAGTATAACCACCTGAAGTATGATCTAAAACTTCCATAGCAATCATATTGCAAACAACGAAAAGGAGCCAGAATAAATAAACAACGATAACGTTAAGTGCAAGTTGATTATGTGGGAATGAGAGACCATGTTCCAAATAAAATTCACCTTTAAATTTAGTGTCACCCTGTACAGCACCACCCATTGGACAAATTCTATATTGTTCATCGGCATATGAATTATTTGGTTTAAGACCTGCAGCATAGAGTGGATCAAATGGAATAGCAGAAGCATCACAATTAAAATCGGTACCAGTCATTTCGTTATCCATTAAAGCTTTGAAAGTGTAACCAAAGATATTGATCCAGAAGAACCAACCGAACCAAGGGTGCATCTTTTGTTTTGGAATTGTATAACCAGCATAGGTAAGCATGAAAATGACAAATACATTTAAAATGTTTTGAGCAATGTACATACTTGGACAAAGGTTACCAAATAATCTGAAAAGAGCAGTACAAGCTAAAGAACAACCTAAAAGAGTGAAAATGAACACAAAGAATTTACCTGCATCATAACCTAAACCGACCATAAAGTATACAATAATTGAGTAGAGTAAAACTTGTAAAAAGGTGAATGGAATATCGGTGACGACTTGAGCAATATGTAAAGCAGATGGACGATACATAGCATAAGAACGATGTTTTTGTAATACACGACGACCAAAGAAAGTCATAGACATTTCACCAATAGAAAGGAAAGCGTTAAAAATGATAGATGATAAAATGGCACCACCACGAGTGAATAAACCATCAATATCTCTGTTCAATTGGAAGAAAATGGAACCATAAACAAATGCTTGAATTAAAACTGATAAATAACGTGAACAAATACCAAATTTATCACCCCAAATCATTGAAAAGTTTCTTTTAATTAAAGCTACAACTTGAGTAACAAAACTGGTAGTATATTGTGAACTCTTTGGATTGGTTCTACTCTTTTCATTTCTTACTTCTTCAACAAAAGCAACTCTTGGTTGTTCTGCTTCGATTTGACTTTCATATTCTTCCAATTCTTTAATACCATCACGATAAAGTTCTGAGGCTCTCCATGCTGTTTCGAAATCTGCTGATGTTTCTGGAACACGATCTTCAAATCCTTTTTTAATAATACGTTCTTGTGGATTAGTGACACCAGTTAAGAAATCTGGAGTTGATTTTCTTGCTTCACAATCAAAACCTAAACTCATAAAATAATCTATTACATTATAAAAATAAAAAATATTAATATTTATTAATTAAATAAATTAATTTAGTTGTATGTATTTATAATTACCTTTAGCTTTGCCAACTGGGCCAAAATAAATACATCTACCTTTTTCTAAAATTAAAACTTTCTAAAAAATTATTAAAAAAAAATTAATATATTGTTATTACCATATAATTTATATAAATAGTATATTTACATCAAAAGTGTTATAAATTGAATCTGATGCTTGATAAAATGATGCAATTGTAGTTTTATGTAAGGTATCTGACATAATACGAATTGATTTTGCATAATCAAAAGCTGATGCAGCATCTAAACCTCTAGTTGAACAATCCCAACATGTAATTGAAGCTGATGAAACCATTGCTTCAGCAATGGTTAAACGTTTTCTTTCACCACCTGATAAACCTCTAATGAATTCATTACCGACAATCTATGATAAATTTAAATTAATATTATTATAGAACTATTAAAAAAAAAAAAAAAATTTTAAATTACTTACAGTATCAGCTTGATGAACAATACCAAACATTGATAATAATAAATTTAATACTTTTTCACGGAAACTTCTTTTTGATTCGTCTGGTAAACGATTACCTGGAGTTTTACATTTTAAGGCAAAATCTAAAGTTTCGCTAAGTGTAAGAGTTGGATGATTTGAATCTTCTTCTGGTGTATAAATAGCTTCGGCTTTATATTTTCTCCATTCCTTTGATGAGATACCACCATATGTTACATCACCATTAACGCTAACGTAGGAGTCTCTTTGATTTGAAATAATACGTAATAAAGTTCTAAAATATTAAAATTAAAAAAATGAAAAATTAGAAAAATGTAAAATTTGAGGGGAAAAAATAAAAAGAAAAATAATACATACGAACAACCAGCACCTGGTCTACCTAAAACTAATAACATTTGACCATCTTTACAAAAACCTGTTACATCGTGTAAAATATCAAAAGTTGATTCTGCTTTTTTTTTCCTAATTTGCATAAAAAAATGTTCATTATTAATATTTTTTTTTTCCTATTTTTAAAATATTGATTTAATTACTTACCATGTTGATGGTTTAAAAAAATCTACAATAGCCCAAAATGGAGTTGACATATCAGCTATAACAGATGTATCGGCACCTTTACCAACAACAGTTAAATTTTTGAAGACGACACCCATCTTCTTTGGTTTACCACCATTTTCCATTGCCATTCTTTGTGAATTTTCAAAGTATTTACGTAATTTAAAATCTTCTTCAGTTTCACCACCGGCCATGTATGAGGTTTCTGGATCTAAAGCGGCACCAAATTGCTTTGATTCAGTTTCAATTTCTTTTTCAAAATTATCATATGCGTTCTTACCACTATCCAAATTGACATTTGAGGTGGACTCTCCATTGTTACCCAAGGTAATTTCATGAAGTTCTTGACCATCCATTTTTATTTTCTGTTTATTAAATAAATATTATTTATTATATTATATTTCTTATAACAGTTACACACAATATTAAAAAAAAAAAAATTGTATGGTTGAAAAACTAAATATAATAAAGATAGAGTTTAATAATATTTATCAATATCTAATAATAAAATACCAATAAAAACAATGTATTTCAAATCTTTTTTCTTTCTTTAAAAAAAATTATTTATTTTTTTATTTATTTTTTTATTTATTATTTTTTTAAATACTAAAAATGTGTCTAAAAAAAAATAAAAAAATAAATTGAATTTTTATTTTATTAAATTATTAATTATTATATTTAATTAAAATAAGTTATTGTTATTATTTTATTATTATTATTTCTATATATATACACACATATAATAATAAATATAAAAACAAATAAAATAAAAATTGGAATAAATAAATTTATTTGAATGTTTAAAAAAAAAAAATAATAAAATGAGATTCGTTTTTTTATACTCTCAACATTACTGAACAATCAAAAACTATTAAAAAAAAAAAAAAATAAAAAAAAATAAAAATAAAAAAATAAAAATAAAAAAATAAAAATAAAAAAAAATATAAATATATCGAATCCATGAATCATCCACTATAATCAATTGCAACAACAACATTTATTGTTAGTAATAGCAGTGTATCAATTTTGTTATTAATAATTTTTTTTTAAAATAAACACATGGACGGTAATAAATTTTTAGAAAAAAAAAAATTGATATAATAAAAAATTGTTGTGAAAAAAAAAAGAATACAAATTATTTATTAATAAATGCATTCGAATACAAATGAGAAGCCAATATGTTTAACAGATTCATCAGCGTGGCACCACCATTTTACATGTTTTTTGGTGGATAACCCATATGCGGAAACTGTGTCTTAAAAAATTAATATAATATTGGGTGCAGATTGCATTATTAGTAATGGCGGTTATTTAAAAAAAAAAAATTAAAAATTAAAAATTAAAATTTTTTTTTTTTTTTCTCACCATTTGATAGTTATCACCATTCGCATAATAACGACAACCAAAATAATAATTTTTTTTTCAATTTTTTTTAATTTTTTTTAATTTTTTTTGTAAAAGTATTGAAAGGAAAGATATTTATAATTTCCTATTTATAATTTATCAAAAAAATGTTGTTTTTTTCAAATAATAATGATACGTAAAAGTTATTTTTTTAAAAATGACATAATTCTAAGAAGGTTTTAAAGTATTACTTATAGATTATCAAATGGTTTTTTAAAAAAACAATCAACCCTTATTTATGGTACACACCCACAATCTTTTTTTTTTTTTTCTGGGAGTTCACCCCTTTTTTTATTTTCAAAATTATTAGTTAATAAATAAATGAATAATAACAATCAAACACTATAAAACAATAAATCAGTTTTACTTTTATTTTGGGATTTTGATTAAAATTAAATTTCATATAAAAAACACAGCTACTTTAATATAAATCAATGTTTAATAATTATTTGTAAAGTAACGTTAATATAATCATAAAGATTGATTTGTAAAATAAAAATAATTAATAATGCAGAAAAAACGGGGTTAAATTATCCCAATTTGTAATTTTAATTTTAATTTTATTAATCCAATAATAGTTTTTAACTAAAATCTATATATTAAATAAAAAAAAAAACACCCATTGCTGGGATTTAATAGATAATAGTTTTAAAACTAGTGGTGGTTATTTGAAGAACTAATAAAATAAAAGATTTAAAAGTTTACATTTTTAACACAAAAAAAAAAAAAAAAAAAAAAGATTTTATTTATTTTTTTGTAGATTTATTTTTTCATAGAAGATATAAAATTTTATGAGGATGGAGTTTATTAATTATAAATAATATTGTTTATTAACG